TCTAAGTTCATCCTCCACTATTCCCACCCCATCGCCACAAAGTTTTTTTAGTAAGAGATGCTTTTCTCCATAACATAAAATTTACCATGGCACATGTAATTAGGTCTTATGATATAAACTGGAAATGAATCCCTGTATTTTCTGCATGTGGCTCCTTAATCAGGATTTGAGAATAAATATCTGTAAAAGATACTTAACTACTTTGAAAATGAGGTCATTTCCTTTTGAGCCATTCCTATGGCGAAGCGTCTTATGACCTGAGTAATAAGGTTTTCCTCTAGGAGCTAAACTAGCAAGAGGCAGCCCACATATTAACTATTAACTGAAGCGTTCATCTCTCTATAATAATAACCCACACTCGGAAGTCACCTATAACGGAAGTTGTAGAGATCTGAGAATGTCAAAGTCGAGGTAGAGGGTCTGAAGGGTTACCTTCACTACAACAGTTCTTGTCAACTGAATACAAATCAATACAGTAAAATATTACTACCTTCCCTTGAATGCCTCTCTCTCACTAGACTGAGCTCCTTGAGGGTTGGGAGCGTGCCTTCTAATAGAGTAGCGTAAGCGTTAACTAAGATCCTGGGCCCCAGAGTTCACATCCCAGGGTCATCCCAATCGCTTACTGACTCTTGTGGCTCTTTTCCTTACTTTCTCCTTACCTCTTTCTCAGTAAACTAGCCATTACATAGAGGAGTTGTGAGGATTGGTGAAAGATACATGGTATGTAGGTACTTTTGCCGGTATTACATTTCATCCTAACCCCAGAGGTGCAAGTTAAGTGCTTATTATATCAATATTCAAAGGACACTTTCCTTGAACTGGGCAGGAAGGCAGCCCCATATATCACAAACACACATAGGTCCCTCTGTCACTAGGCATCTGGCATTCAGTGCAATTTGTAACCCGGGAAACCTGCATGTCATGTTTTGACCTGCATCTTCGAGTGGAGATTGGTGGGTTGTACCACTGTTGACGTTGAGGCAGATACTGCTGTAGTGTACAGGAAGGTTTGGAGCTGCAGAAGGGGCTAGAAGAGAAAAGACACATTAGGTTGTTGAACCATCTCAGCATGGATGCAGTGGATTGTACCAAAAGAAGATGTTTCCCGGAAGTGCTGTGCTTCCATTTCCCTGCTTGTTTTAGGGTTTCACTTCATGGCTCTGCAGGTTCTGCAGTATTAGGAATGGTTCTACATGGAGGCTGAATGACATTTGCAATGTTAAACCATATTACTTGTATATATGTAAATATGTAGGTTTATATAGAGCATACAAGAAGTTCAGTAGTGATTCATTCATCATTTTATTATTTTACAGGGAAATTTTAAAATATTCAGAACTTGGGTTTTTACCTTTTTATGTTGAAGGTAATTAACCTTTTGGCAAATATATTAAAATTTCATCCACACTAAATGCAGTTACATATTGTTTTTTAATACTTTAGATTATTAGAACATAGTAGGACACAATTTATGTTCCTAGAACATAATTTATGGGGGCCTCTGGGTGGCTCAGTTGCTTGAACGTCTGCCTTCAGCTCAGGTCATGATCTTGGGGTCCTAGGATCGAGCCCCACATTCTCTCTTGCTTTCTCTCTCTCAAATAAATAAATAAAATCTTTGTAAAAAAAATAATAACTTATGTAAAAATCTTGATTTTAACAGTATAGTGATTTTGCCAAAATCAAAGCAAGAAAATAAATCTTATGGAATAAATACATAATATATGAACGTATATCTTTCTCTATCTTTCTGTATATATCCAAATATTACCAACTCATAAACAGAATTATCAGTGTGTGCAGTAAGTTAATACTATCATCTCTGGTATTTTGCTGACTTTCAGTCATTTAAAAAAACATAGCTTTTCACATGTTTTTTATTTTTATTGTAATGAAGGTATATTTAAAATGGTAGGAGGAATGAATATATTTAATAGCTTTTAGCTGATTTTATAACTTGTAAATATTTCGAAATATGGTCTGTGGGACTTTATTTGTCCCTCGGTGGGCCTGTGAGAAAGGAGTGGTAGTAACATCTGGTGTGGAGCAAACAGGAGATGAGGAAAGTTCTGCAGAGAAGGTAACACGTGATCTGGATGTCTGGTGACAAGGATGTGGCTGGCGTGCACAGCGGTTGGAGCAGAGAGTGTGGCCTGAGCAGAGCTCCACCCTGTAATAGCAGATAAAGTGCCGCTGTTGGGCTGGGTGTCCCAGCCAAACTGGGCTTCTGGACTCACAAAGCTAAGGCCCAAGAACGTGGTAATCCCAGCGGGCACGTCATGTCTGGCAAGGCCTCAGGGAGCCAGGCCAGGAAGCTCCCACTGCGGTCTCCGTTAGCTTGCTCAGATTCCCAACACTGAGTACTTTTATTTCAAAGCGCAATTAGCATCTCCACTAAGAGATGGAGTTTAGAGAATGCGAACAGAGAGGAATGAAGTAGGCTTCGCCCATTCGCATAATGATGCAAAAGAATGATATTAGAAGCCAAACAAAGGTCATTTATCTGTGGTAGCACACAAAGGAAAAAGTGTTTTCTAGATAGGAAAGCTTGCTGAGATTTTCAAGCAGCCCTAGAGGATGAAAGACCTCCATCCTGACGAGAAAGATTCCAGCTGTGCCTCATTCTGAGCACTGACGTGGCATCTTCGGTCCACGTCTAGGCGTTCCCACTATGGTCTGATACTCCATGGCACCCAGGCTACAGTGCTGGTGTGCCCCTGTTCCCGTCTGGCCGCCGCAGGGGGGGCTCAAGTTGCCCACGGCCATGGGCTCCTGTCATTGCATTCCTTTGCCCTGTGACACGTGATCTCACTGTTGTGTCTTCATTATCCTTGTCTCGTCTCTTCCATCTCCCCCAGCATCTCCTCCTCTGGCTATAGGTACAGTATTTTTACTTTTAAATCCTTGCGTTGTTGTCCTGTCCCACTCACACCCAGAACCATTCATTCCCCAAATCTTAACTGAGGACCAACCGTGTGCCAGACATAGGGAAAACTAGAGTGAAAAAGACCAACGTCCTGACCTCTAGGAGTTTGGCCAAGTAAAAAACACCTATCCTATGTCTTGTGCTTCTGATCAGAACACCCCGATCAAAATGAAATACTTTATCCTCATAACAACCATGTAGGGTTATGATCATCAAAGCAAAAAGCAATCCGTGTTTGATTTTTCCAGCACTGCTTAAAATACCACTTCCTTCTTATTTTCTGGTCTATGTTGGCATGAAATCATCAAGTTTTGTTAATCCTACATTCAAATTCATGCTCCTCCATTGACCTCTGGTGTTTTATCACCATAAGTTGTTTTTAAAAACGAAGCAACTTTTCTCATATCTCCCCCTGTTATGTTATAAATATATACTGAGGCTCCCTCCCCACATTCCCCTAAGTAAGCCAATATTTATTTCTGATGTACACATACAGGTCTTTATTTGATATACACTCCCTACTGTAAGCCTCTATAGGGAAGGGCCTTGCTCACCATATAAATCATATTACAGAGCATGTGCTTGATAGAGGTTGGCCAAATTTAACATAATCTACAGAATTAACTTCTTGTGCTTCCAGTTTTTAACTATAAATAATTCTTTCCGTTTCCCAAATGATCTCAATGTTCCTATTGAATTTTACCTTTGAAATCCTTATCCACAATTTGATTTTTCTTACCTTTCTTTACAGCAGATAGGTGAACCCAGACAATTTGATGTTTTCTGAAATTAAATAAGGATGGCCTGAATTTCTTCATCTATATCTATAATAAAATTACCGAATAATACAGAACCCACACTTTGCCCTATGGTTTCTGCCAATCCATGTGGTCACTCAACTGCTAATTACCGCTGACTGATTATGAGCCTGTAGGCAGATGTCCAGCAGTGATCCGAATCATCTGTCCCTATTTTTTTATCAGAGTGTTCTGTGGTCTGACATCAAATCCTTACTGAAGATCAAGCAAATTGTTCCTTTTTTTTTTTTTTCTTCAAAACTTACCACTCCATGGGAAGACACTGAGATAGCTATGGTAGAGTTGCTTTTAAATTTTGCCCAGCGCCCTGCTGTGTGTGGACGGCCCGGGCATGAGCTGGTGGCCTTCCGCACTGATGATTCGCTGGGCCTGGCAGGGGCCTTCCGGTCAGCAGCAGCCAATGGCGCTGCGCTGGTTTCTGCCCATCTTCCGAGTCTTTGTGCTTGTCACCAGGTTATGCTTGTTTGAACACAAGGCCCTCGGCTAGTCTTACACGACTTATTTGAACCGCTTTTCCCGTCCATCACGTGACAGGTACTGTACACTCAGTTGATCAAAGGTAGCTTTTTTCGTCATCTTTTTTTTTTTGAACTCTAATGATACATACAGAAAAGTGTACGCATCCTGAGTGCACAGCCTGGTAAGTAGAGCGAGTGCACTGGGTCACCAGCACTGCGATCGCAAAACGGAACGTTAGCAGCGCCACAGAAACCGCTTCGGACTCTCTCTGTCCTTCTCTTCCCTGTGGGTTTTTTTTTTTTTTTTTTTTGAACAACTACTTGATGTTTAGCTTTTCTGATTTTATTCCTTTAAAGATCTCATTTTCTCATGTTCTCCACTATTTAATTTGCCACCTGTCAGTCTCTGTTGTTCGATTTCAGTTGCCTTGGTTTTCTCCCTCCCCTTCCTGTATACTGATGGAGTTAGTTCACTCGGTTGATTTATGTGAGGAAAAAAACACAGACCCAGATAACTCAAAACTAATGTGCTCGACTTTGGATTTTAAGATGATTTTGCACCAGATTTGCATTCCCACTTGGCTTCTATTTCAGCTGCTATTATCATCCGTTTACATTCCTTAAGCACGTGCCAGCTGGCTAATGGAATGAACAGGCCGTCCTGCGGAAGCCCAGAGAGGCTGGAAGACTGGGTGGAGCCCATAGACACGTGGATGGTGGAAAACCAAACTGCAGTTGGTTCCTGTGCCCAGAACGGTCTGCTTAATGAGCTGGCTTTCTTTCTAAGTGTTTATTCTAATATAATGAATTTGTTTTACAAAGAAAGCTTTAGGATGTTGAAGAATCTCAGTATCAAAATTACCCAGAACTAAATTTGTGTCTGAATAATTGTTTACTTGCTCAAGTTCTCTGCGCTTAGTGCTTCCATATCCTCCTGCTGCTTGCTTTTCTTGTATTTTAATGCGGCTTACACGTCCGTTTCATCCTCTCGTTAAATAACTATCTTGTTTCCTGAGGTTGATGTTTCATAATCTTTGATGATTTAAGCCTCTGGGATAATGTGCAGTAGAAGCTGGCTTTGCTCCTTCCTTACCCAAGAATCATTAGCAAGTCTTCCAGGAAAAACAATAGAGGCCACAGTAAGTAGCCCAAAGAACTACCTGACTTTCTATTCTTCTCCCCTGAATTTCGAAGCTGGTGTTGTTATTTCGAGGCCAGAAGGCACAATTGCTAGGAATCGTTCTTTTCCTGTTTGGAAGTAAAGCCCTGCAGACGGAGCTCAGGCAGGAGAATTCGGGGTGGGAGGTGGTAGCAAATGCTCAACATTCTTCGGGCAAAATAGCGCAGAGTCCTTCCTTCCTGTGCCTCTCGCCTGTCCGGTTCTCCGAGTGAGTGCGGACTCAGGGGCAGCTCTGTTCAGCCTCCCTCCTCCCCTTCATTTTATTTTTTGCCTTTAATGATAAAGCGGAAACAATTCCTCAGCATTTGCTGTGCACACGTTTGTAGAGAAGATCGGTGGTAGAACCGAACCGGAAGCTCAGAGGATATGTAGCCTTAAACACGTGCAGGGGCTGTTTTGTTTGTCGGATTCTTCTCCCTCCTCTCCCCTTGCCCTGCTCCATGTCCCCCTCTCCTGCCCCTTCATCCCCTCTCCCCCTCCCCTACTCCCTGTTGTCCTCCCCCCGCCTCCTCTCTCCCTCCCAGTCCCCTCTCCCCTACTCCTCCTCCAGGATCACTAGCAGTGCTGCCTTGGGCAAGTTAGGCAGGGTATTCACTTTCCTCATCTGTAAACTAGTTGCCATAACTATGTTGTCCTGTTCAGATAGGACAGCACTTTGCCAAAGGTAAAGCTCCATGCCAACGTTCGTTAGTGTTAACCCAATTACAAATACCAAACGTCTTGGGAGTGGGGTCCCACCTCCCATGCTTGCTGGGGACTGAGCGTGCCCCACCCCCAACCCACCACCCCCCTCCGCCTCTTCGGTCACAAGTGAATTCCTTCTACCCTGGCAGCCTTTCTCATACCTATACCTTCTTTTCTCTTTGGTGGTGGTTGTAAGTCAGATCTCTGAAATCATGGCAGAGAAAGTTAATGATAGTGCTGGAGAGGGTTTTACATGAAATCAAAACTATATAAAAATCAACTTCTGGGGCACCTGGGTTGGTTGGGCATTTACCTTCTGCTAGGGTCATGGTCCCAGGATCCTGGGATAGAGCCTCTGGGGAGCTTGCTTCTCCCTCGCCCTCTGCTGCTCCCCCTGCTTGTGCGCGCTCTCTCTCTGTCAAATTAAAAAAAAAAAATCAACATCAAACTCTTGAAAGTGCCTAGAATATGGGCTCGGGATCTCTGCAAGGTCTGGGACTGAGTATTGTTTTCAACTGTATTATGACACAAATGGGCTTTTTGTGGGCTGGTCCAAGAGAGCTAGGTAAACATTTTAACATGGGTTTTATGGGAAAATACATTCTAGTGTATTTGTGACTGATAGACAGTTTGTTCATAATTGGGGAACTGCCCGAACAAGCTTTTTCCCTTAAGATTTTTTAACTTTCTATTGTCAGAAGAGATCTAAGTATGGGTGGATCTAAGTATAATGGATTCCTGTTTTTATTTAGAAACTACCACACTTACTGATGGGAAGGGGGAGGAGGTGTATTTAGAATATTTTTACGCTTTGATTTTTTAACTTACATCTGTGAGGGTGAAAAAGGATCTTTGGAGCTAGATAGGATACATTTTTCATTAAATACTGGATGAGACAAAGGCCTCAGATCACATCAATGGGATGTATTATTATTGTAAAGAGATGGGAGAAAGAATATGTAGGGGCCAAGGGCAGGCTGCCCCAAGATGGGCCACTTTGCATAAAGATTATTTTGAATTCATCAAAACCCAGCAGATGCAAGAAAAAAAGCTCTCTGCCTCCCCCTCAACTGCCTAAATTTACTTTGGAGAGGAGAGCCTGTACCCGGAAGAGAGCTATTAACAGAGACTTTACCTAAGAAACTGATCTGCATAATAGGGAAACCTCTTTTTCCAAGCATCTCCTCTCACCTTCCTGCTAATGGCCTTCCTCCCCTTTGTATCCTCAGGCCCTACCCCTCTCCTTAGCTCATTCATGTTGCCTGACTGTCTTTGCAATTTCTTGTCTATGGATTCCCCTTCTGTACACTATTAAATTTTATTTTCTCCTGTTAATCTGTCTTATGTCAGTTTGGTTAAGTTCAGCTCGAGGGGACCATAGTGCGGAGGAGGGTCTGTGATGATCTGTGGTAAGCAGATGCACTTACCTATTCCTGATGCCAGGGGGCTGGGCTGTGAAACACAATCTGACTGAACAAGTCCAGGGGGTCAGAGGGCACATCAGTTGGTCAGTGTTTGGTTCTTTGCTGACCTGGTCAAGTGGGCTCTCCAGGATGGAGCAGAAAGTGTCCAGCTGCTGAGTCAGCTGAAAAGACATTTTTTTTTTAAAAGAGCTCACTGTCAATGGGAGTTTATTTAAAAATGTGTAAATTATACAAAAATAGCCAGATAGATTTGTTGAAGATCAAGAGGGTGGTGAAATAGTTTGACAGCATACTAAATAGAAATGTGGAGGTAAATACCAGGAGAAACAGATTTTTGTTAAGGGTTGAAATTAGATTTTTTTTGGTGAGTAGAGAAGGATGATGTAGAGGACTGCTGCATTTTATTATAAGTCTTTAAATAATATTTGCTTTTTTAAGCTATGTGCTTTGATAAAATAAGAATCATTATAAAATATTCATAAATGTTCACATCATTTGAGGATTATGTAAATTGTATCTACAGTAGTGCTATAATAGCATAATTAAATGTTTTTATATAGAATCAATGTAAAATTACCAGTTTCAGAATTTGGTGATTAGATACATAGTTCTGTCTTTGGGCTGTATTTGTTTCCAACTTTATACCTCTCTTAACTTGAGTAATTATATATCATAAGTAATAGTAAAGTCAGGAATGATCATCTTCTATTTTACTACCCATAGCACCTGGCACAGTACCTTGGACGTAGTAAAATCTCAGAATATGGTTGATAAATACATTTTCTGGAATTTTTTTTTCAATATCTTTCTAAAAATTGCATAAATAACACAGATTCACTCTAGAAAAAATAGAAAAGCAAACAAAAAAAATTAAAAATCACCCAGAAACTCATCCTACCATCTTGATAACGCCCCTCCAAATGTTTTCTTATGTAATATATACATGCAAATAAATTTGAAATAAAAATTATCCAGGGGTGCCTGGGCAGCGCAGTCAGTTGAGTGGTGGAGTGTCTGCCTTTGACTCAGGTCACGATCTTGGGGTCCTGGGATGAAGTCCTACATGGGGTTCCCTTACTTGGCAGAGAGTCAGCTTCTCCCTCTCCCTCTGAGCCGCCCCCCATTGTGTGCACATGTGCACGCAACCTCTCTCTCTCTGTCTCAAATATATAAAATCTTTAAAAAAATTATCCAATACACACTGTACCCATGTTCTTAAGATACTTAAGTAGAATTTTTAAGTCAACAGGTATGTATTATTTTGAAGGCTCTTTATCATGTTGCCAAATTGTCCTCCAGAAATGTTATATCAGTTTCAGTCCCCATTAATAGAACAAAGAGCATTCATTTCTCTCACTAACTAAGGGGCAGAAACATACTTATCCTTGTTGGGTTCATTATTATTTCTTAGAATAATAATACATTTGCAGGTTTTAAATATGGATATAGCTTGTCATTTTGTCTTTAATTTTCAATGTTTTTCCCCTTCATATAAAAAGTTTTTTTTAATGTTATTTATATGTTCAAAACCTATCAACCATGTTTTTTAAATTTTAAAAATTTCTCCCCAATTTTGAAATTGTATGCTTCGAAAGCTGTTCATTCTGCAAGATCATATATGTGGAAAGAACTGATTTTTCAGAAGTTAGTGGAGTGACTACCTCTCAAATCTCTTTTTCTCCCCATCAGGAAAGCAATTGAAGAACTGCTTAAAGAGGCAAAACGTGGGAAAACGAGAGCAGAAACCATGGGACCTATGGGTTGGTAAGTTCTTGAGTAATCTTCCTTAAAGCAATATTAAAGAGAAAGTCTTGACTGGAGATGTGGATATGTAAATCTTTTAGCAGCCAGAGGGAATATAAAACTGTGGCGGTGGAGGAAATCACCCAGAGGTGAGCAGGGGAGTGGGAGCCCTGCTGAGGGCCAGCACTGGAGGAGCTCTGAGACCCTGAAGAAGAGGGCAAGGGGCATGGAAAGGAGAGTAGCCCTTAAGGGGTCTTTAAGATCCCTTAAGTCCTTAAGATCCCCAGGAGACATGACTACATTTGACTGCCCAAAGGCACCGTGTGAGAGTGATATTATATCAGTGTCCGTTGTTTAAGGATCTCTGTTTTAATTATAGTCCTTAGTAAATTGAAATTTCTTTTTTAAAATTCTACTTGTAAGTATTTTGATTATGTGACAGTTCAGCTGTGTAGAACTAAAGTTTGCCTTTACAGTTTCTACATATAAAACAGAGCTCTAAAACTTAAAGTTTAGAAACAAAGGAAAAATTTAACCTTAAGAATTTAATTTTAGGGCGCCTGGGTGGCTCAGATGGTTAAGCGTCTGCTTTCGGCTCAGGTCATGATCCCGGGGTCCTGGGATCGAGTCCCGCATCGGGCTCCCTGCTAGGCGGGGAGCCTGCTTCTCCCTCTGCCTCTGCCTCTCTCTCTCTCTCTCTGACTCTCATGAATAAATAAAACATAAAAAAAAAAAATGTAACTGAAATTTCTAAAAAAAAAAAAAAAAAGAATTTAATTTTCAACATTTTTAAGCTTTACTTTAGCAGCAACACATGCATTCAATAAATATGCTGATTTTAGATCTTTTATCTAGAATGTAGAACCCAATACAGTGGAGAATTATGGGTAATTAAAAAGAGTAAGATGTAAAAATGAGATAGGAGTAGAAACTAGGCTTCAGAAAATACCTCATTCTGTAGATTTGACTCTTAGAACCATGCACATGGTTTACATAAAAATATAAAACAAAGTTAAACAGAGGGGAAAGGCAATCCTTAAAAATCAAGCAAAATAAAGCAAATAGACCTAAAAAGCCATTTAGTGGATGGCTTAGCTGCACATAAAGGAACTCCTTCATGTGATCTGAAATTGGACTCTATATCCAAAAGAACTACCAAGAAACCTTAAATTGTTTTCAGTCATCGTATTGTCAACAATACTGATGTTTTTCTGAAACTATTATATAACAGAATAAAGCAAAGTAAATATTTATATGTTGTAAATACCCAGATCTCCAGTGTCAAAGAGATAAAGATATAAAATCAAAGTAAAAACATATAATCCTACATTTGAATTGGAAATAACAGTACAAAGCCATGCTAGATTTTCTCTTTAAAAAAGAAAAGCTTTTTCCAGCTCTGTTCATGGGAAAGTGTTAGAAATGATGACCACCCACTCAGTAGCAGTGAGTGCCCCTGGCATCCAGATTGTTCTATATAAATACCATTTCTCACTGAAAGAAGACCAAGAACCTTAGAGAAATAACTGACTGCAGATCCGAGGTAGTGCCTGGAGTTCACCAGACAGCAAGTTAGAGGTCACTGTCCCCAGGACTGCCCTCACTTCTTACACCAGCTGCAAATTCAGGAAGTTCCCCACAGTACCCTCAGCTTCCTTAAGTCACTGATGAATTCATACAATTTACAGAAAACTATGATACTGACAGTTACCGTTTATTACAGGGAAAGGATACAGATTAAAATCAGACCTAATAAGAGGCTTATATAAAGGGCATTGTCTGAGAGGGTCCCAAACATGAAGCTTCTGTTGTCCTCCCCCCATGGAGTCGGGACACATTACCCACCCAGCTTATCAGGGAAGCTCACCCAGGCCTTGGTATTCAAAGTTTTTATTGGGATTCCATTACTTAGGCATGATTGATTGATTGTTCACATAGTTGATCTCAGTCTCCAGGTTGACCAAGACTACCTGACTCAAAGCTCCCACCCTAAATCACATGATTGGGTTTTTTATTTTTATTTTTTGGGGGGGGTGGGGGGCATGGTCAGCTCTTACTCTAAGACCATCAAGTGGGGCCTGTCCCATCCTAAGATCCAAACAAAGACATTTCCGTCAGGTGTGACATTACCTCCCAGAATTGAGATTACGTCCCAGAAGCCAGACCTCTCTGTGGGTAAGGCCAAACTCTTACTACACAGGCAAGAAATGTGTAAGAGGATCCAGAAAGTGATGTCAGAAAGACTTAGGAAACAACCTGACCTGAAAGGCTTCCCACCAGATGGGATAATTTGATCACCAAGAAGAATAAAGCTATAATGATTGAGATACCTAAAATATGTTAAAATCCATAAAGTCATAATGATAATCACAACAAGAAGCTTAATGATCCCTTTTGGAGAATGCTATGGAACCAAATCATTATTCATAAAATTGGCAAGTAGAGAAGAAAAATAAAACATTTATCCTGTTCCCTGTACAAATTATACCTCAGAGTTACCAAATAATTGATGAAAGAAAACTTCCTTGTAGAACTGTGTCTATTAAATGTACAAGGACTACAGAATAAGATCATCATTTGAATTCTTAGCAACGCAATAAGAAAACAATCTGATTTAAAAATGGACAAAAGATTTGAACAAACACTTCACTGAAAATGATATAGGATTGGCCAATCAGCATATGAAGAGATGCTCAAAACATTAGTTACCAGGAAAATGCAAATTAAAACCATAGTTAGTTACCACTATACATGCACTAAAATATCTAAAATTAAAAAAGACTGACAGTACCAAATAAGGATGAGGATGTAAAACAATTAGAATGCTCGCACATTGTTGGCAGAAATGAAAATGATACAGCCATTTTGAAAAATAGCTGGCTGTTTCTTATACATTCGCCATAGAGAGTTCTTCTAACCAATTACCAGAGAATTGAAAACTTAAGCCTACATAAAAATCTGGACAGTAATATGCACAGCACTTTTATTCATGATAAAACTGGAAACAACCCAAATGTCCACTAACTGATAAATGGATAAACAAATTGAGGTTCTAGCCATACATTCAGTGCTACTCCACAACAAAGAGGAACAGAAGCAGACAAACTGCATGAATGAATCTCAGGGACACCCTGGTAAGGGAAAGAAGCCAGACACAAAACCTTACACAGTGTGGGACGCCTGGGTGGCTCAGTCGGTTAAGCGTCTGCCTTCGGCTCAGGTCATGATCCCAGGGTCCTGGGATCGAGTCCCGCATCGGGCTCCCTGCTCCGCGGGGAGCCTGCTTCTCCCTCTGCCTCTGTCTCTCTCTCTCTGTCTCTCATGAATAAATAAATAAAATCTTTAAAAAAAAAAACAAAACACCTTACACAGTGTAAGATTCCATTTATGTGGCATTCTAGAAAACCCAGAACTGTAGGGACCAGAAAGCAGATCATTGGTTGCCAGGAAGTGGGGGCAGAAAGAAGGGATTTACTGCAGAACTCTGTGGGTGACAGAAACAGTCTACATCTTGATTGATGTGGTAATTACATGACTTTGTACATTTGTCAAAACTCTTCACACTGTTACTTAAAAAGGATAAATTTTATTCTGTATGAATTATACCTCGTAAACCTGATTTTAAAATAAGAAGAATGTCCTCATTTTCAATCCCTAAGGACACACTGGTCCTAGGCGAAGGTCACTGGCTACTAACCTGACCAGATGAGGAGTTGCTGGGGACAGTTCTGGGACAGGACAGGCTGACCACACCTGAACTCACTAACCCATCTCCAGCCATGAAGAGATGCAGTAGGAAGAGCACGCCACCATTTCTGGGATATCCTTGTCAAAAGATTGGACCCAAATCTGATAAGATCTCCAATTAGAACTACTAGTTCGCAGGAAGTACCGAGGGCGGAGGAACACATTAACTGACACCATAGGGATATAATCACAAAAATCCAGTATGTGGGGAACTCTACAGGACAAACAACCCAGTTTCTTTAACAAATAAATTGCAGAGAAAAGAAGGAGGGGTATCCTATGAACTAATAGATTTGAGACACAGCAAATAAAATGTATATTTTATTTGGATGCTTATCCAAATTAACTATAAAAAGACATTTATGAAATAATTGGAGTATTTGATGATATTAAGGAATTAATGTGGATTTTTTAGGTGTGATAATGGTTTTGCTATTATTTCATTTTTTAAAGCTATTGTCTTTCAGAAATTCATTCTGATGTATTTATGGATAAAGTGATAAAAAATGAAATAATCCAGTGCGAGTCAATCTGTATGTAACATATGTATGTAATCATCTTAGATTCAATAAAATACCCTCCTCGTGGAAAGATAGTTATACAGCTTTGGTGAGATAAGGTGTCAGGAAGCATTCGGCATTTTTCCTGTCATGCAACAGTCGGTCAGTGTTAGTTAGATCTGTTCTTACCTTCTTACCAGCCCTCCTCTGTCCTTTACAGAGAGAAAGGTGCCTCTACTCAGGTGAATCAAATTAGTACAAATTTGGTTAGGGGGGCAGGCTGCTTAGGTGTTCAGTATAAGGCTCAAATCTATTAGTTCATAGGATACCCCTCCTTCTTAGGTCTTCAGTATAAGATTGCGATCAGGTTGACCATAGCCACTGGCCCAATCCAATACCATGTGTGAAAGAATCAGTGTAGAGCTAAATCATGAATTCATGGCTTGGCAAGTGAATAAGAAAATGTCAGTCAGGGTTCTTGCTATGTTAGGAGTGCTCAAGGAGATCAGTTGCTTCTAGGCAGCTCTCCGGATGGAAGTCATTTATCCTGACAATCTTTCTGCCCCTTACTGGCTTAGTAGAACTTTCTGACAGTGAGATAACTAGTTTATCAGTGTCAGCTCTGTTTCCCCTGGAGAGAGTTACCACATGTAGAGGTCATCTTGACATTTGTAGGAGTACTGATGTGCGCGTTGAGCATTATATCAGGAAGGTCGGCAGTTGCACAAAGTTGTCGAGGACCCAGGTCTCTTCCAGTTTTCCACATCTCCCAGC